CAATGATAACTATTAATTTTTGTATTTTTTTTATAGATTACATTTGTATGTTGTCAATCATTTTAACAATAATTCAAAAGATATATCATCATGATCTGTGTTCTTAAGAAAATTTTCATAAATAAGGAACTACAACTAAACGATTAAATAGTGGGTAGTTGATGTCGCTGTGCTGTACAGTAGGTTACAAGTGGGTCACTGTAATGGATGGTTTTAAATTTGAATTCAATGATCCAATATTGTAAATATATGAATTTCAAACGCTCATAAAAATTTAATTTGATTTGCTTGTAGACATTTTTTTTTAATAAAAGTAGGAAAACTTATGAATAATCTTGTATTACATTTTCAGATTTAAAAAGAAAAGATTTTATGAATTCTCAACTCAAAATAATTTGCTAATTTTCATGATTTTTCCATGATGTTTTATCAATATTTGAACTATAAATGCTTATAAAAAAAAACTAAGGATTTTTGATATTTATCAAATGTCATTGTAACAATATATTAGGAGCCTTGTATTAGATCTTCAAGCTTTTTTACTAAAGAAATAAAGTTTTATTGACATTTATAGAAAAAAATACTAATAAAATTGGAAACTGAAAATGTTTCCAAGCAGAGTTTAGAACAAATCAAAATATTTTTAAAATATTATCGTTCATAGAAAATGCAAATATAAACGACCAGTGCAAATTTCATGTATATACGTTCACTTGTTTTAAAGTTACACCAAAAATTACAGTTTTTCCTTAATTTTTATATTGTTTTTCACGTCACTTTTGAAAACTATAGGGAATTTTGACCTCCCCAATGCACCAACAAATTTCACTTTCCCATCGAACAAGATACTGGAGTTTCAAATCGAAGGATTAATTACACTACTTATCGTGTACACGGACACAAAAATAAATACATTCATCGTTTCACTCAGAATCTAAAAATAAAAAACACACATCATTGTAAAATCAATACATTCTTCGTTCCAATCAGAATCTAAAAGGGATTATTATTTTTTTTTTTTTGGGGGGGGGGGGCGATCGTCTATGTTATCTGGGGTTGGAAATTAAATTCTATGGCAGTCCAGATAATTTTAAAAACAATTTTCGAGGGCCAAGAAAAACTTAAATATTAGTTGACATAATGTGTTTATATTTGTGTTAAAAATACAGCTTAAGCTGTTTAGAGCAAATCATAATATAATATTAGTCAGTTTTTTTCAAATCGTGTACTACTCTTGAAGAACACCCATAACGCGCAGAGTGTTTTAAAGGTGGTGATTAGTCATTCTTGATCGATAGTTATTCTTTAAAAACGTCATTTTTGGATAACGAAGTTTCACATATTATGCATGTGGATCCAAAACACATACATCAAAATACATAAAAAGATATTATATAATATATGTGCGGAAAACAAGCATTAAAAAAAAAAAAAAACATTCTTGACCTCTTGCCCGACTCCTGCCGGTCTATATCGTATGGTACAAACATTTTTGGGTATATTCAATGTCATGTCATAATAATATCATATAAACCAGGGGTCGCCAACCTTTTCAAACAAGTGAGCTACATTTGAAATTTTTAGTCCCAGGCAGTGTTGGGAATAGATAACTAATAATTTATCTAGATAAAGATAAAGATGACTGTAATAATTTTTATCTAGATACAGATAAAGATAATTATACTAAGTTTTATCTAGATAAAGATAAAAATTAGTACATTTTTATCTAGATAAATATGAGATAATTGATGTATTTATCTTTATCTATAAGATTATTTGCATAAGATCATTGCATAAGAAAAACGATTCTGGGCGGAGACGGTATGTCAGGTCAGTCTAGGTATAAGACATATTATTATATACATATCTATGGTACTAAACCAAAATTTGACCTATAATAGGTAACCTATCTATAATAAATTCCAAATTAATCATATCACAATATCCATTAGGTACTTATAACGCGTTATACACCAACAACAAACCCTGATGATATCATAGATATATAGTAGTATACTTTAGATGTTTCAAGTACCCACGAATAATATTATACAATCACAACAAAATAACTAAAATAGTTATTCTAGGTTTTTTATTATGTAATTTCGTCCAAATTTGAATTTAAAATGTCTGTAAAAAATAACTGTTTTCATATATTTTTTAGATTTTTTGGTTACAGTATGAACTATTTATGAGAACCTTTGTTTTAAATTTGTAATCCTTATCTATAGAAATTGAACATTTTATAATTTATTAATAACAATGATTGATAATTTTCGATTAATTTTGATAAATTTTGTCAAAATTCGATCTTTAATAAATGCTTATAAAAAAAAATTGTGCCTATGTATTTTTAATATTTTTCAATTGCTATCGTAACAATATATCAAGAGCCTTGTATTAAATGTTTACACTTTTTGGCCCAAAAGATAAAACTTGATTGATATTAAAAGAAAAAAAAAGAAAAAAAACTGAAAGCTGTAAATGTCCGTAAACAGCTCAAAAAGAGTCAAAATATTTTCAAAATTGTATGGTGTATAGGAAATGCTAATATAAACATTCAGTGAAATTTGCATGTATCTACAGTTATTCGTTTTTGAATTACAACAAAATAAAGAAATCGCTACATGAGAAATCGAGTGAATATCCAATGTTGTAAAAATTTTAATTTCAAACGCTCATAAAAATTTAATTTGACTTTCTTATAGATCTTTTTTTTTTGATAAAGGTAGATAATCTTATAAGGAATCTTGTATCACATTTTAAAATCTTAGATTTAAAAAGAAAAATTTTTACGAATTCTTAACTCAAAATAATTTGCTAATTTTCGTGATTTTTCCATATTTTGTCAATTTTTGAACTTTAAATGCTTATAAAAAAAACTGTGACTAAGTATTTTTAATATTTTTCATCTGCCTTTGAAAAAATATACTAGGAGCCTTCTATTAAATTTTCAAGCTTTCGCAACCAACAAATAGAATTTTATTGATATTTTTAGAAAAAAAACTGAAAACAAATAGAAAATTAAAATGTCCCTAAACAGTTCAAAATAAATCAAAATATTTTGAAAATGTTATCGTGTATAGAAAATGCAAATATAAACAACCAGTGAAAATTTCATGTATATACGTTCATTTGTTTTAGAGTTAATCAAAACCCAAAATCTATTTTTTGGAAAACCGAGTTTGCGTAAAAATTCCCGTTTTTCCTTAATTTTTATGTTGTTTTGCCCGGCGCTTGTGAAAACTACTAGGAAATTTTTACTTTTGACCCCCCCCCCCCAAAGTACCAACTAGATTCACTTTCCTATCAGAAAAGCTACTGTTGAAGAAAATTCAAGCACTTTTACTATCCTAAAACGTGATGACAGACACAAAAAAAATTAAAAAATTAAATATAAAAAAAAAAATAAAGAAAAAAAACACACATCATTGTAAAATCAATACATTCATCGTTTCACTCAGAATCTAAAATCCATCAAATAAATATTTCAGTTTAGAAGTATTTATCAGGTGGTTGGTTGATTCAGTGGTTTGAGTACTTGAATCATCTTTTTTTAGGATCTTGGACGGGCCACCATTTGAAACTTGGACAAACTGTTTCATGAATAAAATAATTAAATGAAAAAAATAAAAAATAATAATCGTAACTGTATGCAGTTCTACAATAAATTTTACCGACGACGAAACACAGGTCACAACTCACACGATACACACTGAGAAGTGAGAAAATTAGTCAATAACAGTCACAAAATATATACTTGTCAATTTTTGTATACTGTTTATTTTATTGCGCCTACAGCAGAGGACAGAGGTCGTACAGATCGGTTAAGCGATAACTAAAATACCAGGAATTCTAATAGGGTTTTATAAATATTAAATTGTTATAAATAATAATGATATTATATTATTATGCTTGTGAGTCCAATATCCATGAATGTTGGTTTATTTTTGTCGGCTTAAAACAATAATTATTTTTCATACTTTGTACACAATTCTATGAAAAGGGTATCAGCTAATGAGACCATCATCATTCGGCGGTGGCCGGTGGGTAGCAGGGATAGATATTTTTGTTTTTGCTATTATTAGTTGTTCTTACAATCATTGTTTACGATGTAAAACTCCTGACTAACAATGAATATTAATAAATATTAAAATCATGGTATTATAATACGTATTATTAAACGTGTTTTCTATGTACTAGTTGAAAAAAAAAATATTTTCAAATTTTCAAATTTTTTTTAGTTTATTTAAATAAATTATCTAGATAAGTACTCATAGATAACTAGAATTTTATCTAGATGAAGATAAAGATAACTGAGTAGAAATTTATCTAGATAAGATAAAAGATAAATAATTTTTATCTAGATAAGTTATCTAGATAAATTTATCTAGATATTTCCCAACACTGGTCCCAGGTGATCGGCATCCAGGAGAATTTAGGTCTTTAGGAAGAGATTTGTCTTATGAGCAAAAAAAAAAAAAGGTATTTTTTTTTGCTGTAAATTCTAAATAAATTTGGAACGTAATAACGATCATATACGGAACATATACGCTTTGCACACTTCCACGCGACGAATAATTGACAGTCGAGTTATAACAATAATTCTGACAATAATTCTGACTACCTATTTATTGTAATCAATGGCCCTTAGTCACCGAGGCTTTTGTTTTCAAATGAAAAAAAAAAATTCTGTCTATAACCATATAATGGTTAACATAATGTAGGAAATTAACTCCTAGAATACAATATAATATATTATCCGATTATTTATTACACTATCGAAAAATTAATTTAAATAACGATCGACCTATATTTCTAGAAATATCGACCAGTCGACCTTTTGCTTTGCTTTGTTTAGGTTTACTCTGCATCAAGCATGAGCTTCTTGCAGAGAGAATCAAGTTTTGTGAAGTAATTGTTTGTTGTTAATTGTAGATGTTTACGCTAGGCTTAGGGGTCTTTTTCTGAATATATTTCTTTATGATGTTTTCTATTTACTATGTTGGACATGTGTTGTTCATAGTTGGAGTTTTTGATTCTTTGGAATGTTCTATTCGTTTCAAATTTACGTAACAGAGTCCTATCAGTCGACCTAGTTGGCGACCGCTGATATAAACAATAATAATATTATTACGATATCGATGTGATACTTCGGTGGACGACGCGAAATCCACGTGAAGTGAACTCGACGAAACTGCAATAGGTGGAGCTCGTCCGCGTTTTGCCGGTATCGACGTCATGGGGTTGTGTGGGTAGGTACCTGCTGTGTGTGTAATAACATTGACAGTCGAAGTTATTTATTTTTCAATTAAAACTTAAACTCGGCCGGTCCCGTGTCTCCGGCCGACGTGGATTTCGGTCGCGATTCTGTCGTTTCCTCCGTCCGCGCCCGAAATGGATTCTGAGGGGGTTTAATAATAGTGCAGTGCAGACATGCTCACAATCTACATATATATACACAGGTCCTTAACGTGGTTTATGGGTCAGTCGAGCGCACTCACAGCTGGCTATATATATATATATGGTCTCGACGAACGGATTAAAAATAGCCCAAAATAGAAAAATCGTCTCGACGATAAATTTAATTTGAAGACAAATCATAAAAACTTTTTTCTTTTTTTTTTTACTGGGATTTTAAATTACAAAAACGACGAAGGTAAAAGGGCTCGGACTATTTACAGTGACTCGGTGGTATCTGCAAATGATTAAAATCGTGATTTGAAAACCCTTTTATTGCAAGGCAACACCTATCGAAGCGACGATACAAAAATGCCAAACGACAAAACGGCTTAGCACGCAATAAATAGTAAATGTCCAAAACGGCTAAATTTTCTTATCAAACTAGTGATATGAGTGCAGTTTAAAAAATATATGTCAACAACACGAAATATACGAGTACGGATTTTATACGAATTACAGTGGAACCTCAGTGATCCGGACTAATTGGGGCTCTAGGTTGTCCGAATTGATGAAAGTCCGGATTAAACAAAATAACCAAAAATCGTAAATTTATAAACATTTTATTGCATATTTTATTAAACCATATATTATTATATATAAAAGATAGTAGATACATACATACATACATACATGATTGTAACATAATATATTACATACATATTAAGGCAGACCTTCATCGTTCACACTTGACACTGGTTTGAAAAAACCGCTTATCTTTGGTTGTCTTCTTTTCACAGTGATCTATTTAATGATTAACTCTCGAAGATGCCTTAGATGCTCATAATACTCAGATATGTTTTCATCGTTGTTTTCTTCGACGTATTTAATGACAATACAGATTTAGTCTTTAGACATCGCACATCCACACAGGAGCTATAGAAACTGTAATGGAATTCCCTTCCAGAGTCCTATATGCCTTTGGTTATAGGTCATTATTTAAAAACATCCCTAATCAACCATGGTTTCAATCCCTAAAGTTGAGCCGCGCTGCCATTACTAAATTCATCAGACTTCGCACGGGCCACGGCCTTCTACCACACCACTCGTTTAAATTGGGACTCAACAGTAGCACGTATTGTCCCTTTCCTAACTGTGGTGGAGAATACTGTGACTTACATCACCTTCTCGTAAATTGTCCATCTCTGTCTACCCAAAGATCTCAGCTAAAGATTCTCTTTTCCACCTGTGGCATTAATTTTTCCCTTATCGACGCGCACTCAACCGACAATGTTAAAATAATCATTCATACTTGTAATAAAACATAAATGAACGCGACTCAAGTTTGTAGTTCATTCATTTTATTAAAGTTTATTGAAATATTTTGAATATTTAATTATACAGTTTTTTCTTTTATATTTCAATTAAATTGCTTAGTGCAATGTACATTTAAAAATACGTGTATCAAGGATGTAATTACATAAAATTATTGGTTTTGCGTTTTGGACTCACGGTTCTGCGGTATGATCCTCGGACGACAAAGTTGGTGGGTGGCTGGTAGATTCACTGGACAGTTGACTGCGGCACGTCTAGCAGCTACACAGGTCTGGTGATACTGAATAATCCACGTCTCTGGCAAGATTATTATTATGGACGGCGGCAATGATAATGTATATGTTCAAATATACGGCGGCGGCGATTATTACAGATAGTCGTTCGCGCACTATACGGGTGGCGGCGGGTAGATGGTTAATCAACCTTTTACGGCGGCGGTGATTACGACGGCGGCGTACGAAAACTGTTCAAAATGCTCCGTGTCAATGATATCTAAGTAGGTACGCGGCGGCAATGATATTCACGATTATCTCGTAATAAAATTCGTATTAAACGATAACGGCGAATTTTCGGGTAGCGGCTCTAGATTCGGCACTCAAAACATACAACGGCAATATTAATTATTCGGACTGTTTGTGCTTCCTGTATAGGTAAACACCAAGCACGAATAATTAACTAAAAAAAACAAAATAACGGCGGTGTCGATTATCGGTCGGCGGTTTGGCTTACGTACTCGATAGTCGGCGGTATTAATTATTCGGACTGTCTGTGATTATGTTACCAATAAACACCAGGCACGAATAATTAACTAAAAAACAAAATAACGGCGGTGTCGATTATCGGTCGGCGATTTAGCTTACGTACTCGATAGTCGGCGGTGGCGATGGTTTTACTTATGTGTGCTGTCTGTGCGCTTCCTTTGTAGGTGAACACCAGACACATAAGTAAATGGACGGGCGGGGAGCAGAACTTGTCCGTGCTGTTTGTATTTGTTTGTGCAAATACCAGACACGGCTAAGTGAGCGGCGGACTGCCTATTCGGACCGGGCTGTTTGTGCTTACTATTTAGGTAAACACCAGTACCGGTAGCGATTAGACCGCGGAAGATGATTTTGTAGCCGGCTGCACAGGGTCTATTTACTAGGTATCACCATTGCCTCCATGTTACAGCTCTGCGACGTGGTGTGTCCTTATTTTGTTGTTGTTTGTTGGTATGTTTTTCTGGTATGGACACGTACTTCTAGAGATCAGTGTCCTTTCGGGTGTATTTGATTATCCGATGGTAACTTTACTGGTATGAGTACATTTTATACTGGTATTTGTTGCTGGTACGCGCACGTCAAAATGGTATCGGCGTTGCCCGCCATCTAGTGCGCGTAATAGGCACTCACGGTCGGACGAATAATGACAAATAGTTCATGCGGATTCGGCTTGTAGCGCGTCGGTAGCGTGTCCATACGCTATTATGAGAAAAATCATATAGTCCATTCTGTCTCGTTACATACTATAAGGTTTATTCTACAATCAGGCCTCCTAATTTAATTGTGTGAGCTTTACCAAGTTTTATACTTCAGATACTTGTACATAATTGTCGAGATGTAATATTTTTTATGTTAAAATCTCATTAATAAAAATAAAAAATTAAAAAAAAAAAAAAAAATTACAATATGTTTAGATGATCTTTAATTTCACCAAGTTTTGGCTTTGGGTTTACGTCATCTGCTTCATCTTGATCATATTAATCCGTTTCAGAGTTTTCTGTAGCAATCACACTTTCAACAATCTCCTCCTCTGTTAAAATATGATAACCTAGATCATATTCATCTGCTTCTAATCACGACTCATTGTCTTCCAGTGTAGCTGAATTTTCACCTCCTTGGTGGAAAATGTCATGGAAATCCTCTGTTTCTGATTCAGCCGTATCTGGTTCGACCTCTTCATTTATTAAAAGTTTTTTCCACGAGTTAATCAAAGTTGAAGGTTTTATATCTTTGACAGCAGATGCGAAATTACACTCCGAAGGGTATCAATAGCAACCGACTGACGTACTGTACTGTATACTGTATGTCTGTACATAATATTGAGGTACATATGTATATTATATAAATGGATTACAATTATTGGATAACTTTAATCACAATTGGTATTGATAAATATTATGTTATCGCAACAACCTGCATTTATAGGAAATTTGTAGAACTCGTTTTCATGTTTAATTTAATCTACGGTGAAAAACTAGAGTAATTTTCGTACGACTTGTTTATTTACTTATTATAAACGGCTGTCCGGATTAAACAAAGTCCGCGGACTAATGAAGTCCGGATTACTGGGGTTTTACTGTAATATTAATATTCCGGTTAATAATATCAACGATAAATTAATATAACAAACTTAATATTACCTGGCACGAAAATCTGTAATAAAATTTACCTGAAAGGTCCATCATAATCCTAGATATCTAGTGGCATCAGTTTCACAATAGGTTTATCTAATATGAATAACGCGAGCGATACAAGACTTGGTGGACGTGACACGATTATTCAAAATAGTTGTCGAACCGAAAACTATGGGAAAAACATACCTATTGTTTAAAACAATACGTTACAGTGCTGTTCGATTATTTTTTCCGGTTTTTTTTTTTTTTTGTTTTGTTTTTAAATAAATCAAAAAAAAAATATTACATATTATTTTATACTCAAATTCATCGAAAAAAAAGATCACGTCACATTCGAAAATCATCCAATGTCACAACCTCATCCAAGCAGTAATCGGCCCTACTTCTTGGCCGTGACCAAGTACATATAATATCGTAAAAACTTGGGTATATCAATATTCGCTATTTGTAATAATGATGAGACTGAAAAGTCAAAAGACCTCGAGAGGTGAACATATCAGGATAATTTCCCATTCTGGTCTGTGGTTAACGAGTTTGTAATTAGGTATTATATTTCACATTTATTATGCAGAAATATTTACCAATAAAACCTCCGCGTTAAAATTTCTGACGAGATGGCGAGTCACAACAGGATATGGGCAAGTCGTTTCAAAATACAATGTTAAAATAAGTTGAATATTTTATTTTCTATGCATTATTATTTATTATTTATTAGTTGTGCACGTAGCTGTTAAATAGGCAACAATATCGCATGATAAATAAATATATTTTTAAAAATTACATCAAAACTGCGCAAACATTTTTTTCCAGTGTGACGAGGTGAAAGAGAACTGCGATGATAAAATAAAACAATGGCAATCGTGCAAGATTCTAGTGTAGTGAGAAGAAGCTTTTGGTATTATGATTGTTATTCCGAAGAAGGTTTACGGATACAAAGTAATTTACGAATACAATGCTGAGAGCAACGAACAAATTTATGGATATTAGTAAAAATAAAAAGACTAAAATAAATCAAAATATAAGAAACGAATTCAAGAGAAGAACAAGCAATTCATCAAAAAAATTGATTAAATGTATTTTATTTTTCGTAAATGTTGGCTTATTTTACTTTTA